AAGATAAGAATACTTAATCCAAATTATGGTTCACATTTTCCGCAGTCTCTATATAATGGCGAGGCAATTGAAATCTTGCTATTCCTTTCATTTTGAAGTGGGTTATTTTTCTTGACAACATAAGCAAGCAAACAAGTCAAGGAATAAGTTATTAAGGCTTTGGTTTGTGATCAATAATAATTTGTTTAAATAATGCTCTGCTCACTATATCTAAGTTCTGCTCTCTTGCTAAAAAGTTACTTACGTGCAAGCAATATCACAGTTATTCAGTCAAATTCAATAAAATTAGTATGTGGCTATATCACTAAAATGCTGCTGCCTTTTGCGATTCTGTCTCCATTTCATTATACCAGTTTATACCAGTTACTTGTTCGATTCATCACTCTTTGTGGCATAATGAAAAAAGCAACTATTTCAGCCATGTAATAAATGGAGGCTCAAAAATTCCTTCAATTGTTATTAGAAGACCGTAAAATGAAGTTGATCGAGGTGACTGATCTTCACTGAAGCCACGTCAATCACCGCGAATGCGACCCGAATCAACCAAAGGAAACAACAGTACAACATAAAAGTATTCTTTCATCAAATTACGATATTTTGGCCTATGAAAACGTCAGAAAAATTTAGTTATATTAATTTGCTCAAAATATATTGTGTAATTGTTGTCTAGCCTGAAATATTAGGATGGTTGAAATAGCATAATATCCAACAACTTGCAGTAACTAAAATTTATTTTTCTATTTTTTCGACTTTCAACCTCAAATCTTTAATTACCGCTATACCACTTTAAGTATCGTCTACAGCATCAACATCTCTCCTCACTCAATACCGACTCTATTCGTTCCAAATTACAATACAAAATCTTACGTATAATTAAGGTATTTCTATTAATACAGAAGCAACCCTCATTTTCGAAGAAATCCCATAGCACACGTTCGCCTACCAACCACATAAATTTATCTACGTTATCTAACTAATAACAGTAAAATTATTGCGCTGACGAGCTTTGCAAAACAATAGAGCTCGGCTATGCGCCTGGGGTTTTCAATTGTGCGAAATACGCAGCTCAAACGCGAAGCCGAATGGTATTTTATGGTTGAAAATACATAGCTGTGTCTATATACATACATACCATACATAGATATCGGATAATATTTACGCACCGCGTTGTGGGTGCTGGTATGTGCGTGGTCGCGCCGTGCCGCTGCCAATGCGTGTTAGCCGCCACGAGCGCAAAATACTTCGTACACGAAAATAACTGTCGCGGTAAGCGGATCGGTTGGATGGCTACTTTGTATTCACGACCATTTCGAATGACTTAACAAATGTTTTGTGCCGAAATATTCCCGTTAGCGTGAACACATTAACGCACATACACACAGGCACCCTTATCGAATAGCTAAACACGCGTACTCATGAAATTTTCGAGCAGCCCAGAAGGGACTTACTGACTTTATGCCGAACTTGCTGATGCGGCTGTCATTTCTGTTGATGATGATGCTGTTGCATTGTTGGTGCTTGTGATTATTGTTGCTCGTATTTCAATGATTCGTTTGTAAGGTAGAAAAAGCATGTGCATAAAGATGTGCATTAGGGTGGTTCTTAAGAAATTATGAATTTTTTAGCGTCATTCTGTCAATCTTTAAAATCCTGGTACAAAAGCAAAAAAATGTTGATGACCAAAGGATGTGGTAGGATGAGAACGTGTCGCAAAATGTTCGAAGCCCAATATTTCCGAGAAAATACCCAAAAAAGACCTCTAATTTTCAACCATTAAAAGCGATATTTAAAGATTTTTTTTTCGACAAAAGTAGGACACACCTAGAAGTGAAATTTAAGGACTTGTTTTCCCTGAAAAAAATAGGTGGATCAGGAGTTGACTTTAAGTAAATAAAACATGTATTTGCTTTGTCAACATTTTAGGACCACCCTGTACTTAAATATAATATTATATAATATATAACGAGGTGTCAATATCGTTAATAATTCCATAATTTCTGTGGTTGACCTTTAGGTAACATGATTTAAACATTTTCTTCCAAATTTTAGTACCACCCTGTCCATGAGTATTTAGTGGCGTGTTCTTGTCGGGAAAAGTCACAAAACTGCCGCTGCTCTCACTTGCCGTTGTTGTTGATTTTTACAAATACATCTTAAAATTCTCTTTCAAAATTTTAGAACCAACAGAAGTATGAATTCATAGGGACGTATACAAGTCGGTGAAATTCGCTTGCAATTGCAGCTCAATTTTTATTGCAGTTGTTGGTTAGAGAATACAATAAAAAAAAAATTCCTCCATAATTTTGGATTTATAAAAGCTTCCATTAACATTTTAGAACCACCCTATATAGATTCATGATTATATAGTGTTGTGTCAATATCAGAAAAAGTCGCATAACTGCTGGTGCTTTGTTGTTGTATATGTATATTAGTAATTGCAATTATATGCCAGCATGCGCAGCTTGGTACATGTATATGGGCGGACACGAGCACAAAAAACAACATGGCCATCATTTGACGGTTTTTTGCGCACATTTATATATATTTATTAATAAGTAAACGAATATCGACGCAAAAACTCGAAGGAAGTGTTGCAAAAATGAATTGAAATTAAATATTTGCAGAAATTGATAGATAGCTGTTTTTAAACTCGCCAAATAAACACAAAACAAAAACAGAAAAAGTATGCAAAATCATAAATAAATTGCAAAAACTTCGTCACAGTCTCTTGAATTTGACCCGGATTAACTTTGGTAATTTTTTAATGGAAAAATATACAATTCGATCACTGAGTGGTAACAAAACATAGCTAAAATTGAAAAAGTGCCGCATCCCCAATGAGTTTGACCAAGCATAAAGTAAAACAACAACAAAAGTACTCGGGAAGTTGTTATTGCTAATTTAATAAAAGCAAAAATTGAAATTCATATTTTAAAAAACGAGACAAATAGAAAACTTTTAGTTCACATAATCTACTTGGCCACTAGAAGTGAATAGAAAATTGTAAGGCTTCAAACCGAATCTAGAAATTAGATGCTGTAGGTGAAAACCTTATGTAAAATTCGTCATAAACTCATAAATATGCGATAGCACTTAGAAGTGCTCACCCTTTTCAGGATTTCTACGAAAAAATCCATATTTTAACATATTGAACATCAACAGTCAGTATATTTGAATTGATTATATTATACATCAAACAGAATAAAAGCTCTCTTCGATTTTTGAAGCCTGGCAGTGGAACGAATCGAACAAAAAACCGGTATAAACTGTCATAATGAAAATGCGAAAGAATAGTAAGCGAAAAGCACACATTCTTGCTGTGTTCGCATACTCAACTCAACTGTACAACCTTAGGTTGGCTTTCAACAACCACATGGGAACCACCACATGGGAAGTCATGGTTTAAAATAATATTAGTTCATGAGGGACCGAATATTGTAAGAACTCAAGTACTTCTGATTATTTTGAGATGATCAAAAAATTGCAGTTGATAATTATTTATAGTATTTAGAAAGTCTCAGCAGTTTCTAGATATCTAAAGAGAAAATTCTTATTCTCCCTTCATGACCTTTTAAAAATGAATATAAGCAATATATATTCCCCCTTTTAGACAGGTTTAACAAAGGCTCGTAACCAAAGCCAACTCACTTCTGGATACCCGAGCACCAAAATCAATTCACCCTTTGATTTAGAAGAGACATCCAATATATTTAATCAAAAACTACATTTTCGTGTACTTTATTACAAATCTTTATTATCGCCTTCAAAATAGGCGCCTAAGCCAATAAAAGCATGCCAATACACTCGCTAAAAGGCTCGGGTAGGATGGCCTTCAGTTTCTTCAGCGATTTTTGTCTTTTTCGGATTCGGCTCATTTTTGGAGCGCCATTCGCTAAATTTTTTTCAAGTTTCGATGTCATATTCCCAAACCTAGGTCTCGTCATCAGTAACGATGCGTTTGATGAATGAAGGGTCCTCAGCTATATTGTCAAACATCTTTTTTGCGACCTTTTCATCTCTACTCGACCTCGTTTTTGCAAAATATTCAGCTGTTTTGATACAAGTCTAGCATTGATACGCTTCATACCCAAAACATTAACCAAAACGTGTTGAGTTAATCCATAAGAGATGTTGAGATCCTCGGCTATCTCTTTGATGCCAATACGACGATTTCCAGGCACTGTTTCCTTAACTTTTTCGATGTTATCAGACGACGCGCATGAGGGCAGTTTTCGTTGACTTCAAGACCTTTACTGAAAGCCTTGAGCTATTCAAATATTAGTGTTCGTGATAAAGTAGACTCTTCAAAACTAGGTCTCTGCAATATCTTGGCAGATTTTGAATATGTAACATATTTTAGGGTCTAATTTTCTATCCAGTAAACAGTTATGAGCAAATTATACTAACTTTCTCAAAATGCGTAAAAAGCGTTAGATTTATTTCCGGAAATTCGGAATAATTCTCAACCGGTTATTACAAATAAATTTTGAGTTATTTCGCGAAAAAGGTCATTAGGAATATAGGTATGTATGTTATTATGAAGTAAAAAATTTCGATAGATTTTTGAAGTTTAAAAATTTGATTTTTATCCAAAACACAAATTACGTTTCAATTGGGTATATGAAGTTTACTACTTGTAGAAGCTTGTAACACCCAAAAAGAAACGTCGGAGACCATATAAAAAATATATATAAATGATTAGCGTGACGAGCTGAGTCACTATAGCATATTACTGCCACGTGAAGCTTCAGTGCAGGCGAAGTTAATTTTTTTTTTTGTTTTTTAAATATTTTCATAATAAATTATGAATATACATATAAATGTAAATTTTTTCTCATTTTAAATTCACTATAAATTTAAGATTTTTCCATTTTAATACATAGCGCTTAACCGCTCTTACTTTATTGAGTTAATTCCCTCGGATTCGAGCCAAAAAAATGTTTACTCATGCCACGTTGTGTTTTCTTGCTCGTTTTCTCTTATTTTTTTCAATTTAACAGGAGGCATGTCAAAATTACATTCGCATCATGGTAGTGACGTCGCCGGGTCGTTTGTTCGTGTGCGGCACCAATTCATTTCGGCCTATGTGTAATACATACATAATCAACGAGTACAACTATACCCAGGAGGCGAACAAAAGCGGCCAAGCCGTATGTCCCTACGATCCGCATCACAATTCAACATCAGTATTTGCTGGTAAGTACAATGACTCGCATACTATACATACTATATAATATATATTCTAGAACACAACACATGCATATTTATGTAACTAAGTACAGTTGTGGGCATATTAATACTAGTGCATTGCGAAAAAAAAAAATTTGGAAAGTTCGTGTTTCTAAGAACTAGTTATGGAGATAAGCATTATACCAAGATAATTTGATGAAATTTTTTTATAAAACTTGAACTCATGAAAATTATTTTTTATATGTTTTTTACACTCTATTATAACATTCCTTGTTAATTTTTTTCATATATTTGAACTATAAGACTGATCGGAATTATAGTTATAAAAATATTGCCTTTAATTAGACTTAGCGCTAGACTCTATGACTTCTGTGAGCTGAGTATAGTACTCATAACAGCGCTCTTCCTTCTAACTGAAACAAAATAAAACGTGAAAATTTCTAATCTTTAACCTTGTTTAAGAACATTTTATAGCGGAAGATCTTTCTTAAAATACCTCTCAATGAAAGTAAGCACATCTAATATTCTAAAAAAAAATACTATTATATGTTTGTCTAAGCTATCTTCTACCATAAATTCAGGTATTCTCAAGGATATATGAGCTGATTCTACATAGTATACCAGCTATTTTCTATAAGAAGATATTCAGAAAGTCATTTCAATTATATAAAGCTATTGTAAAAACTTAAAATTACCGTTAGATGTGTCGGTAGATGTCACTGTATAATATATACAAATATCAGTATTCAAATATGTCTATTTTGTATATTTTTGCGCTTGTTATTGACCGGAAATACAATAAAGTTTACAATTACTTGTCCATGCGTCGAAAATTGAATTCCATGACTTTTCTGAATAAATATTTTTAAAATTTTATATCAAAATTTCCATATCTAATTGATATAAAATCGTTAAACGGCATAAAATGATGTGTAAATCAACCAACTAGCTAGTTGTTACTAGCTTTAGGCTTTCAAAATGCAACAGTTTCTATTTATATGTATAAAACTGTCTAAAAATATTGTCAATATATATATTATATATATATATATATACTTAAAAAACGTCCAAACAGTCAAGTGGCTGTTAATAACTTACGATCTGCAAAAGCAAGTGTTTATATTAATATGTAAAAAACTGTTTAAAAATGTAATATACTTTTATATATTTTTATAAAAGTCCATACAACCAAATAGCTGTTACTAACTTTCGATCTATAAAACCAAGTGCTTCTATTAATATGTACAACACTGTATGACAAAATTTTCTACATGTATGTACATATATATAGATAAAAAACAGCCCCAATGCTGCATGTTAAATGAGTACCCTTGCCACATGCCAAAATAGTTCCATTTGCTCCACCTGCCCCCACCCTATTTCATACATATACTAGCGTCATTTTCAACGAACGTTATCAACCAATTCACAAGTTAGCTTTTAACGTATGCAACGTCATGTTTTTTCGTCAATTTCAACATTTTACTTTTGTTTCATTTTTATTTCGACTTTTTTTTATTGCAGTCGTCCTCACTTTTTCACGCTATTTTATTCGCCCTGCAAAAATACTTAGTTGTCGTTTTTGTTGTCTCTTCTATTCTTTTCATTTCGTTCCATTTGATAGCGTGCTGTGTTATTATTTCTTTTTTTATTGTTGTTTTGCATTTTTTATGCTCCGCAGCCCCCCACTTTGCATCACCCTCTCCATTTCGCTACGTTTTTATTGTTATTTTTAGTTTTGGATGTTTTGTTATTGTTTTTTTTTGTTTTTTTTTGCAATTTGATTTCGTACTTTGTTAGTTCCTGTCGGTTGCTATACGGTTTTTCGTTCTTCTGTTTTGCAAATTGATGCGCCATTTTGTTGCAATAACGGTGCACAGGTACTTGATTGTACTGTGTGCGCTGTGAGTGGGTTATAGGTTCGTTAACACTATTGTGCGTGTTTTTTTTTTGCTTCTTTACACGTTTTTGTTTTGTTGGTGATATCATATTTTGGTACCAAATGTTGCTGATTTAATATTTTTTTAATTTTTTTGTTTTAATTTTTTAATTTCATTTCATTATTTTCACTTAGTTTCATTTATTAAATTTTTTTAAGTTTTTTCGTGCGTTTTTTTGTTTTTGCCTGCATTTTCACCTTTTGTCTCTCCTTTGTCGTTATCATTCTTGTAGTTTTTTTGCTGTACAGTTATTTCTGCTATTGTACCGTTATTTCTGTTTCTATCTCACTTTTTTGCTCTTTCTTTGCTTTATTTTTCGTTGTTGTTTTTTGGTTGTTCTCAGATTTGTCATTTTCTCTTCTTCCACTGTGTTGAAATTTTTTAGCACACTGAAATCAGATAAAAATTGTCATCCATCATCCGGCGTACAGACACGTATGCAGTTATTTGAATATATAGCGGTTCATGTGTACCGTATGCAGCTAACAACTGTCAACTATGTATTTATGTACAAATATCGCTATCATATTTGCTCTTCTCTCTGCGCTATGCCTCAACTTACTTATATGTAAATGTGAGAAACTCATTTGTAAGTACACGAGTATGTTGCAAACACGTTGCCGTTATTTGTATGCACTCTGGTACATTTTTTGTTCACAAAATTTTCGATTTGTGTATACGTTGCATACTTTTGGGGGCAAAGATAAATTTGCCCAGCAAAAAACTTAGGTATTGATATAGGTATTACTACATTTGTAACAAAAGAGTGACAAGAAGTGAATTTGGAAACAAAAGAAATTCTTTGGAGGTTAGAATCGTACTCATATAAGAAAAATGGCTTTGAGATTAAAATTAATATATGTTCCTATGATACATTTCTAAATTTTATTTCATAACTATGATTTTGTTCAGATCTCAATTACTATTACAAATAATTTATAATGAAAATGTGATAATTTGGTGGATCTCTGACTCTTGATTTTAGTAACGACTTTACAATTCTGCTGAGATTTTCATACTTTACTTCACCATTTAGTAAATTTTTTTCGGAAAGTAATTGTAAACAAATAACTCTAATTTTATTTCAAAGTTTTCGCTCTCAAGTCTTTTGAGTTAATTTTAAGAAACCTAGGTAGATTAGGTTAGGTTCGCTGGCTAATCCAAAGATAGCACTTGGACTACTATATGCAGTCCTTCGTCAGCCATAAAAATAGAACTGCGATCTTTTAAAAAATACGAATTTGCTTAAGCGTTTAATTTCTTTCCATCCAGCTCAGTGGGGGAAACTGAAAGTTTGAGCTCACAAGAGTCTAAGCCTTGATATCACATACGCGGAACAATCAAGAAGGAAGTGTTGAGATGCTTCCATTTTGTCTTCTTCCATTGAGCTTCTGCAGCTGGCATTCGGTAAGATTCTCACCTTAACATCGAACTTAAGCTAAAGGGATCATTTTTAAATTTTAACTAATCATATTTTGGACTTGAAATCTAAATAATGATTTCACAGATATTTTGGAAGACCTTTTAAGAAACTTCGAATTTAGCAGATCTGGAACTAGTATCTAGAAAGTCTTTGGAGGGAAAACAGTATCTACCAAGAGTAAAAATATCGTTACATGTGAATGTTTAATGAGTGCTTACAAGTGAAAGTGTATATAGTCGTTCTTTCAAGCATCCCTAGCTCCGATGAATCCTTACTTGTAAGCGTCATATGGAAGAAAATATGTTAACTATGCGTCTATAAATATTAAGTTAATTTTTTCTTGAGTTCATTAGATGCCATAACGGCGTGGATAAATAAGTTCAAAGCTAAACTACCTCTCGGAAAATCGTGGATAGTTATACTTAAGCCAAATATGATGACAAAAGGTAGCATAACTCAAACTAGTTTATATTGGTGCAGTAAATACAGTACAGTGGTAAATTAGACCTTTCACAAGGTGAAAATTAGTCATAATCTCTTGAAAATACACCCTTAAGTATCGTTTAAACTTAACATTAAAACAAATTAATAATTTTTACATAAGCAGTAAACTACACATCGCCACTTTAACCTAACCCAACCAGCTTCAAATCAATATCTGTCTTCTTTTTAAAATAAACATCATAGGTCAAAGGTTGCTTACGTTAAATCTGTTAAATCCCACAAAATTTTAGTCCAATCACTGTTTACATCCATTAGCTAACTCTTTTAATGTGCAGCTTCATCACACTTCAGTGCCTAACGGAAACATAACGGTTAGTTAGTGGGTAAAATGCGGTTGACTGAACGAACGGTGAAAAACGCTTTGAGGTTAATTTTTACTAGTTGAGCCCACTGACAGCGGTGATCGCTGAAAGCACCAGCCACTCACCTCATGTGTGTTGCGGCACATTTACTCGTGTTGTGCGCAACTAAACACATTTGATAGATATTTTATATATTTGCACATTCGCTTGCGTTATTTCTATTTCACTGTTGTGTGTTGTTTATTTGCAATTTTTATTTGCCATAAATATTTTTATCACATTCAAATGGGGCCAATAACGATTTGTGGCCATTTCGGTTTATTTTTTTTCCCCCATTTTTTTTCACTCGCCATTTATTTGGCTTTGGTGTGCCAACGGTGACAGCGGATACATGCGTTTTTGCCTTCGCCACTGCCATGGTTGCCAACGTTGCCTGCGTCCTGACTAGGATTTGATGATAATTTATGACCAAATAAATGTGAACACAACAAATCTGCATATCATGGACACATTTCACATATGCAATTCTGACCCAGGTTTGTGCGCGTGCGTATGTGTGTGTGGGCGGAGTTTGTGTGTGGTTGTTGGCGATTATGTGTTTTGTAATGTTTATGAGTGCCAACCAAACGGCTGTTAATGCAAAATATTAGTTTTTTTCACGTGCAAAATTACATTTGCATATATATATAATATTTGTATAATATATACGCACACAGACACACAAACTCACTCAGTGGGTGCCTGCAGGTGTTGAAAGGGACAAAAGGCAAAGGAAAGCTCAGTAAAACCTGACTGGTGTATATAATATGCCATTTGATAGCGATTAAAGTTATTTAT